CCTATATTGTTGCAAAGCAAACCACACTCCAAATATATATATATATATATATGCTGATTGACCATTCTAGAGTTTTTTTCAAAACAAATTACTTAAATGGGACTCTTTTGAAACTATTTATGCCTTTAGGGTTGTTTTTAATAGTGTCGTTATGGGTCATAGCGATACCAGTGCCACATGTTAATTTTTTTTTTAGAAGCTGTGAACGCCATATTACAAAAGTCGCTATAGCCCATAGCGCCTCTTGTAAAGTCGCTACAGCCAATAGTGACACACAACGACTTCATGCATATTTTAAAACTATTAATTAAATTAGAAAAAGAATTATTTAAATTTGTAGTATATAATAATATTAAAAAACATTTGAAATAAATGAGAAAAAAAAAGAAGTATAAAAAAATGAAAATAACAAATAGAAATTAAATGTTAAAAAAAAAGGAGGTCGCTATGGCCTATAGCACCTTTAAGTCGCTATGGGTCATAGCGCCTCTGTTATGCATTAAAAAAATATATAAATTTAATTTTTAAAATATATATAATGTAAAAGAAATAATTAAGTGAAGAAAAAAATTGTATAAATAACGAAAAAAAAAACAAGTAGAAATTTATTTTTTTTAATGGTTAATTAAATGTTAAGAACAAAAAAATAATAATAAATAAAACAAAGAGGCCAATTGACCAAGTACTACGCACATCCATCCCTGGGATATCTTCTTCATCTAGATGATTCCAATTGATGTTAGTGTAGTGGGGTAAATTATCCCAAAATTGACTTTCACCTATTTTAATAATACTAAATTTAGTAATTTCAATAAAATAAATTTCAACTCAATTTTTTTAAACAAGTAACAAAAATTATTGACAAATTTAATTTTCAAATGTTACCTTCCGTAGATGGATAAATTGAAATTGGTTCAACCATTGGACTATGAACAATAACATCTGATTCCACTTCATTATCAGATGCTTCAGAATCATCTATTTCATCTTCATTTGATTCATCAACGCTTTCATATGATAATGAAACATGATAGTCTTCATCCGCTTCGTCATCTTCATCTTCGTCTCTTGTCATCAATGGTGATCGTTCAATTGAAAAATTTTCTAATGAAATTGTTGAAGATTATTTCATACCTATTTCAGCATATAATTCCATTATTGGCATCACATTTTGGCTCTGAAATGCTTTTATCATGCATTGTACATCATCATCGTCACTCAATTTCAATGAAGAATATATGTTGTTATCATGGTGTGAAACTACAAATCTGTAACTTACATATAATATCACTTGATTTGACTTAAGACAAAATTTGTTGTGAATCCCTCTCTTTAATATATCCAAAGTTATACCTCATTTAATATACATTCATTTTCTTAGTCATCAAATGTTATACCTTCAGAACTTTCATACATCCTTCTAGTATAAATTTAAACTATAATTTGATTCATAATATCTGGAAAAAAAACTATTAATTAGTACAAATAACTATAATTTATATCTCAACTATAACAAAATTTCACTCACAAATTTGAATACAGAGCTCCACCTATTATACTTATCGGTGTGATTTCAAATGTGAACAAAAAGTAACTGGTAGGAGATGTATATATACTGCAATAGTCGCTACGGGCCATAGACTCACAAAGTCGCTATGGCCTATAACGACCTTATTTTTCAAAAAAAATTCTTACACTAAATATTTTTTATAATACATTTTTTTCCTCTACGTATAAAATAAATATTTTTAAAATAATTCATAAATTAAATTTGGAATAAGTTTAACAAAAACAAATAAATACAACCTAAAGTCGCTATGGGCCACAGCGCCTTTGTGTCGCTGTGGCCCATAGAGACATCAAAAAAAATTTTTTTATTTTTTTTTACTTTTTTCTGTGTGCTTTTTTATTTATTTCTTTATTTCAATGAATTAAAATATATCTGGAAAAAGAAAAGAAAAATATAAAATATAAAACGCAGAAAAAATTAACTATAAAATAAAATATTAATAAATAATTTTTAAAATAATTGTTTAAAACTTAAAAATTTAAATTAAATAAAAAATATGGTCGCTAGGGCCTATAACGACTTTGTGTCGCTATGATCCATAGCGCCATCTTCTATATATATATATTAAATTCTTCTTTTTTTAAAAGTACACAAATAAATATTTAATTTATCAAATTTTTTTAATTATTTTTATTTTATACTTATTTTTTAATTGTGTTTTCTTTATATTCTTTTTCCTTGACTTAATTAAAATAAAAAAAACAAGTACACAAATAAATATTTTCAAAAAAATTTATAAACAAAAATGTGAAAAAAAATTAATAAACCAGGTCGCTATGGCCCATAGCGACAC